AGTCATATGGACATCATGGCTTGATGTATTTTAAACTTGGGTTTCATTCAAGGTCTATTCAGTTCTGTATGGTAATCATTTTCTGTGGATCCTGCTTTCCCCAATCATATCTACCAAAACTTCCTTTTCATGCTAGCCCTTTAAAGAAGAACCCTAAACATTATGTTCCCTTTTGCAATAAAAACACAACCCACTCCCTGCATCAAATGCCCTATATCTGCATTTATCAAAATGGCTTATATCCTGTTGTTAGTCCTCATTAAAGTAGATCCATTGTATCAAGAGGATTTGTCTATGTGTGGGATTAATCCAACAACTGATTGAGTTGCCTTATTCTAGTTGGAACAAAACAACAGGACACCAGCCATTATATCAGTATTTTGCAAATAAATATGAGCTTATTGGTCCCCTTGGTAAAGGAGCAAAGCTTGCAGCAGAACAAAGGAACAGCAGAATGAAAGACATCACCATAGAATCTGTTTCAATACTAATAATTTCATTCATGGCCTACTGCATCACACAAAAAGACTCTTCTCTGGTGAGCATCAAACCTGTTAGTGTTTGAAGGGAAAATGAGAATTAGATTTAGGGCCAATGGTGATGAGAGGAAAATATTTGCCCCTGGCTTCTCTGCCAAGGGGGTAGAGGCGATGTGGTTTTTGGTATCTCTGCCAAGGATGGTAATGGTTTGCAGAAAACAAGATTGTCTCATAATAAGAACAATCATTATTTGATAACCTACCCTGAAGTTGAAAAGTCCAGTTCTGAATTTGACAAAATAACAGCAAATATTGCTTCAAAGGGGCCAAAGCTTCATACTAAGTGCTGGCAAAATCAAATGCTAAACTAGAAATATTCATTCTGCAATGCTCAGTCATATTATCATTTTAAAAACCTATAATCTTATTAAACTACCAACAGAAAAAAGATAATTCTATCATTCTGACAGACAGAACTTAGAATTAGAGCTGACAAACTATGACCATTACATGCCAATCCAAAACTATCCAAGCTACCCAGAACCCTCAGTCACATAAAACAAATTAAAACTGGGCATGTTTTGTCTCGTTTACTTGAAGGCAGCTATCTGGTTGTATGGCCTTCTTCTAGAACTTCTACAATCTATGGAGCTGAATTTAAGACACAGTAGTACAGAAGATGACAGGCCACCTAAACGTTTTTAATGGTGGTTGTTGTTTATTTGTTCAGTTGCTTCCGACTCTTCATGACCTCATGGACCAGCCCATTCCAGAGCTCCCTGTTGGCCATAGCCACCCCCAGTTCCTTCAAAATGGAACTATGCCTTAATTTTTCCTTTAAAAGTAAAATATAAGAAAGTAAGGAAATGAGGGAAATTACCATTTGGTGATTAAAAAAAATGTTTCACCACCTTTTATTCACCACATAAACATGCATAATTGAGAAATGTTCCTCATAAATTGCTCCTTACATCACCTCTGAGAATTCAAGAAAATAAAATCTGACCATGTATTCTGATTATTTTGTCTTACAGTGAAAAGCAAAAACAGTGTACTTCTCATCCCATAAAAATTAAGCTTTTCCCCTAAAAAGTCCAACTAGCCTTGATAAACCTAATGATGTCTACTCATTGAAATGATAAAGAACTCGACATTCTCTATGACCTCCAGATGTTTCAAACCACAACATGCAAACTCTTACCATTGACTGTGTCGTGTATGGCTGATGGGAAACATTTGCTAAACATTTGGATACATATAATTCCCCATCTCTGTTTTATAGATTTACTTTTCAAAATTGGTAATGCTAGAACCTAAACAAAACATAAATTTCTCCCGTACAATGTTGTCTTTGAAGTACCATAGCTGAAGGACACATCTGCAGAATACAAAGGCAGAAGAATGTGATGCAATTTCCTTTCAAGCACACATGATTGCTCTGCTTTCTCATTTCAATAGTCTAGTTTGGTTTACACATTCTTGAATTGTGCTTCTCAGACACTGGCAAAGTTAGTCAGACAAAGTCAGCCTAACTTAAATGCCATGGCCAACTACCATTAAGGAAAGCACTAGACTAATCAACCTTGTGCATATTTACTACAAAGGAAGTCCCACTTTGTTTAGTTGAAATTATACTCTTAGAATCACCCATTTATGTAGATCTGTGACTGTAAACAACAGCTTTATGTTTTATCTCTGAGCTAAAACTAACACAGCAAGAGAGGTCAAAAATATAAATGGTACACATGAACAGGCCAGGCCTGTGACATCAAGGGCTGTTTTAAAGCTCTTGTGCTTGCTCTCATCCCTTTCTCAATATGAATCAGCCCCATTTCCAAAAGTGGAGGAAACCACATGGTCCCTGCAAGCTTTTCCTCATTGGGCCAGTAGGCTCTTTGGTGAAGTAGGCAATTTGGATCAGAAAAAGGGTACAAGATTACAGAATTGTTTCCACTTTAATGACCATAGTTCCATCACTATGGAATCCTGGGATCCGTAGTTTCCTTTTTTACCAGGTTCTCACCGAACTACAAACCCCAATATTCCATAGGATGCTGCAGTAGTTAGCGTGGGGTCATAGTGCCCTAGTGTACAATCTGAAGGGTCAATACATATATGTTAAAACAATATGATCAGCATGTAGAGGAATTGAAAGCAGCCATCTAAATAACTGTGGCTGATAAAAATTTGGCAGACGACAAAAATGTAAAAATGCCCTGAGCTATGAAGGAAGCAAGGATCTCAATTTCAAAACCTATAATCTGTCATCATAAATAGCTTCTGTTTATTTCTTATGCACAAGTCCTTGGGCTTTTTTCAACCGAACTTCAATCCAATCTAAAATCCAGTCATATCTTCTGACAGTTATACACTCAGTGGAAACACTCACTGATAACATGTATATGAAAAATTTAATTAAATAATGAGCTTCTCCATAAATGATTTTATTCTGTTTCACAAGCATGCCCATGACAGTCTAAATATTATAATCATGGGGTTTCTTTATCTCATTAATGCTTATTTTTATTTCACTTTTAAAAAACTATTTAAAAATCAGCATTTGCTCTATTTCCTTTTCCACTCTCATCTTGCACCTTAAACAAGAGTGGTCCAGTATTTTAAAATACTGTATTTCTTGTATGGATATCTGGATATCCATAAAAGGAATAAGGGTATTCACAAACAAGCTCATTCGTGAAATTTACATTTAATAATGTAAAAAAGGAACAGTTTATATTGTCTTGTTGGAGAAAATAAAATGAAGGCAATTGAAATCTTACATATGACTATTTCATTTTAATAAAAAAATGTTGATAGCTATGGTGCTATGGAGGGGCCAGATTAAGGTGAAGATAATTTGAAACAAACCAAGAAACATCACAAAATCTGATGCTATTGTGGGTATTTCCTCCAACAGAGCAGGCTGGAGATAATACCTCCCTTTCTACTCCTTGTCACACAATGCTAGTTCAGAAGATTTACTAAATTAATGCCTGAAAATTGATGTTTGAAAGATTCTTAATCTAAAACTAATTTTAGACAGCACCGCTTTATGTTCTGTGGCTTTGCACTAACATAACACATAAACCTCACAGACTTTTCTACAATATCTACAAGAAAAATGATTCCAGAATAAAATTAATTCTCTTTATCCAACTGTCTTCATCAAATTTTGTAAAACTCAAATTAGTATGTTCTGTTTTCAAAGCAGCACTAAAAATTATCTGAGTTCCCTACAAGGTTTGCCTTCTGCTGAAACCACTGATTGCCTCCCATCTCTATTAAAAGTACACACAATTGACAATAACTGCAGTGGTTGTGGTTTACCAAAACACGGAAGAACATGTATGCTTAGATGAGACTCGGCTTACTTTCTTATATGCATTCTTTTAACCTTTGTTGTATTTTTACAGCATTTTAATCAATATGCATTCGTAGCATGAACATGGAAAATTGCCAAATAAATGTCTGTTGTTTGAAAGTATGCCTTGGAATTATAGAACTAGCAATATATCAGACACTGTTGGAAATGCAACTCATATCAATTTTCACTAGTTTTCACTAGTATGGCCAATGATCAGGTTGCTAGAAAGGTGCAGTCTAACATTGAGTCAGAGATTTCTCTACCATCAGTACATACTCCAGAGAATTCATTTTAGACTGTTGCCTAATTGAAGTAAAATTTGGGAAGAATGAATGTATGGCAGAGAATACACATAAAACCATAAAAGAACAAAATGGAGTGAATCCTTGTCTTTCCAATGCATGGAAAACAGTTAACCTGTCCCGTCCTTCCTGTCCTTCAACTAGGATTTGAATGGGATTTTGTATCCCATAATGATTCAAATTGCCACAGGAAGGTACATTCAAAAACCCCAGTGAACCCACGAACACATTATGTGTGAGATCTATGCAACACAAAAGTAATTTGTAAAGAACATATAAACAGAGCTAATACACAAAACTATACGCAAATGTGAAATACAGAGATGCTAACCCAAGTTTAGTGTGATCCAAGATCTTCAGGATTTGGGCTAAAAGTTACTAAAACTTCAAACACATACTGACTAAATGTAATGAGAATTCCAAGACAAGAAAGAAACAAAAATGTGGACTTTAAAAAACAATCATTTTTTAAAAAAACTGGAAAGTACTATAATTAACACAGGTTGAGAATTTCTTTTTAAGAATGTTTTTAAACTGACACTGACCTTTTAATGGCAAACTTAATAAAAACATGTCTACCATAATTCTGACATGCAATGCAACTTGTATTCTGCCAACATCATTTGTAATCATATTTATTCCTTTAGAAAAAGGAGAAAAATAAAATTAATTAAATTTCTAATCTACCTAGATTCTCAACAGCATAATTCACATATAATTTTAAAAATTAAATAGATTTTTTCAAAAATATCAAAATTCATATTAAATATTTATTTCAGCTCAAACTCAATTTTCCCCTATGCTTCACAATCACAATCACTTTTGACACTGACGTAAATGTGAAAAGAAGGCAAGTTGGACATGAAACCCATTTATTCTGAATCTAAAGTTCATCAGCATTTTGGTTACATTGACACAAAGTAGGTGAATCTGAATTCAACCTGAGGTTTCTTCTTTTATCATTTGGAATCAATGACCTTTCTGGTATACAGTATTGGATTAAAACTACTCAAAAGTCTTTGGATGCTAATAGGTGAAGCTGCAACAAAAATAGATAAATAAATATAATAAAATAAAATATACAATTTATGATTTCTTCATCGCTCAGCTATATAAATTTTCAGAAGCTTCCCAGATACCTTGGTTCTGTGAGACATTTTAATAGCAACTGTTGGTAACATATTTGATCCAGACAGATTCAGTGTAGAACTGTTTTTCTCTAAATTGGACATTATTTTTGGAGCACTCAAAAAATATCAAACCACTGCATATTCAAGCTTTAGTAATTAAATCCATGAAATAAAGACCAGGAAAGCACCAAAGAATCCCAGCAATGCAAAAGAAATGCCATTATTTTATGTTCAAATAAGATATTCACAGCTTTCTGGAACAGATTCTGGAAATGTCCGACAAATTCAGAAATGTCATTCCCTTTTCACATTGTTACTCAAGGATCAGATAAGTGTATTCTGCTCCTCCATTTCAGCAAATGTTTCCATTAGATCAGATGCATGACGCAAGCAGAACTGTTCACTGGTTAGTTTCATTGTGAGCTACAAGGTATGTTTGTGCTTGCTTTATCTTATTGATCAGTCTGGCTTTCTTCTTTAGCACAAAAAGAGTCAGGAAAAGAATGATGATGAAAAAACACGAGTAACACAAAATAAGATAGTTTCCAATCGTGCAAAATTTGCTTCACTTGATAAAGCACTTCTTGACACAGTAATGTCCAAAGATTTCACTCCCCCAGAAGATAACAGTATTGAAGTTGATGCTATTCTTAATTTCTCTTGATATTATTAAGGCTATACAAACACAAAGAGAGAAGAGTATCGCAAGAACACTTCATCAGATGTTGAATTCTTCTGGCTTTAGGATAAGCTCTGGACAAGCAGTTGTGTGGTCCCAGTTAATGTGTCTCTTCAGGACAAGAACATAATGAGAATGAAGGGAGGAAAGTCAATGATCCCAATAATAAAATCCAAAATTGACTTTACAATCACAGGTACAAATTGCTCAGGTTGATGATTTCATTTCTCTTAAAGATCACTGTCATCTAAAACTACTCAGAGCCATAGGTTTCTCAAGAAATTGTCAAGAGTCAAAGCAAAGAGTGGTATTGAGAAGGTTTCCCATTCTTCTATTATGGCAGTCTGAGAGGGTGGCTGGAATTGTTGGCAATGTCTAGCCAAGTTCAGGGAAGAGGAGGAGGACGGTTCTTGCATGTTCTTGTTAGGTTTTTTAAAAAATGATTGGATCCTTGTTCCAGCTTGCAGATTAGATTTCTCCTTGGCATCCCTTTATAGTGGAAAGACTAAGAAGCCAGAAAATGTTGAATATTTCCATCCTCCCATGAGATTCCCTCTCTCCAGTTTGAGATGCACTTTGTCTTCTCTTTCCATAAGGAGCAAGACCCCATTGCTGGCTGCTTCTCTGGTGACATCTTGGTCTCCAGCAAAAGCTGAAATCACCGGATAGCCATTTTGCATTAAACTAACCTGCAATGAAAAAGAAAAAGAAATTCATGAGTTTTCTTCTGAGTTTATTATTACTTCATGACATAGAACACACACACCCATACCAAATTCAGATCAAAATGCATTAAGTGAATTTGTAAAAACCAGAGCTAATAGATCTCTTTGTAGGCTAATACTGGGGTGACAGTGTCATAGTGCCCTACTATCGCCCTACTAAGCTCTATCTGTGGATGACACATAAACCCTTTCCTTTCCCATGTAGTCATCTCAGAGCAAGTTCTGAGCAGGAGTGGGAAATCGTAGCCTTGGTTGAAGGAACCAAGTCTATCCTGCAATTTTACAGAACCAATAAAAAGCACACTAATACATTCACATTATTAATTCTTTTCTCACTGTGCTTTATTACAGAGCCACCCGAACAGTTTTATAAAAATAATAATAAAGTATCCTAAGTCTCCAGTATCAATACATACCTGGATAGTTTGTCTGTTATATACTTTTACAACATGGAAACTGAAACTATAAATTCCTTTTCTTGGTGCTACAAATATACTGGAAGCCAGGTCAAAATGATTGCCAATATTAACTAATACCTGGAAGAAAAGAAAGAAAGAAAGAAAGAAAGAAAGAAAGAAAGAAAGAAAGAAAGAAAGAAAGACAGAAAGAGAAAAAATCAGGTTATAGCTTTTCACAAGTAAGGTGAGACTGGGAAAAGATAGGGAGGATTTTTGAGCCACTTGCCAAGCAATGGAAAGCCACTGGCATTTGCTGCACAATTAAAATGGACTGTAGGGGGAAGAGGTCAGTTTCCAAGGTGTTTTAAAAGGATCGGCTCAGGAAGCCGATTGATTTACACAGTGTGCACCCGCAGCCTCTTGGAGGGAATGAAAGGAGTCTGGTGGCAGCCTGTGTCTTCACAGTGGAGGAGAAAGCATAATATATATCATTGCTGAAAGAGAGACACATACACAAAGAACTGGGGGAGGGGGCATTAAAGAAGTTAGGTTAGGATTTTGCATTTTTATGTGACAGTATTGAAACTAATTGTGCCTCATGAGACTTGCAGAGTTAATGTGAAATAAAATAGACTTAGTCACGTCTCATGTGATGGAATGGTCGAACAGAATTCAAATGTTAAATAACTAGCATCCATTTCTCTCTCTCTCTCTCTCTCTCTTTCTCTTGTTTGGCAATTTGCATCCTTCATTCTCTTTTCTCCAGAAGCAGCAGGGATAATTCAATTAGGCTTGAACAAATAAGTAGAGTAGATGCATTTTAACCCACAAGGACTTAGTACATGGATTTAGTGGTAAAAGGAGTGCAATTAGCCAATTATAATAATGTAGAATGATATCCTAAGCCAAGTTATGAATGCTTCAGAAGCATCTCCTTGAGTAACGAAAGCAGGGAAATGGAGTGGATCCAAGAAGAAGGGATTTATCCCAGTCATTTGCATGCTTAACCTTGCTTCTTGCATCTAAATACAACTTGCGGTCTTCTAAGAAAATGGAAATGAGTATTGACATGACCGTGAAATAGGCCTACAAATTTTTGTAGCCCCTCCCCCCACTTTTTTGAGATTTTGGATTTGGAAAAGCAGACTCCCACCCCCCAAACTTCTCCCAAATTTTCAGAATGAGACTCGAAGCTATCTTCTAAGCTGTCTTCTCTGGTAACTGGTTGCAACAACTTGCCTGGGATTTTAATATGACAGTTGAGAAGGGAAACTTCCAGACAGAGGGCTCTTAATACTACTGGTCAAAAAACACTGTGCAGTTATTCACCATTCTGTCTTAATGGATTTTCTATGTTAAAATGAGATTGAAGCAGTGGGAAAATACAGAAGAGTGACAAATGAGCCCAATGTAATTCTGCAAAGGAGGGAATGTGATTGCTCACCATTCAACCTTCAGCTCTTCCTGATGTCCTCTCTTAACAAAGACTGCACTAAAGACCAATGGTGCAATGACCACAGACCTTAGAAATCCAAAGCTCCTCTTAGGATTTATTTCCTTGTCGCTTTCAAGCTATCTCCTTGTTGAAATCTGTTTAAAGAATATCTGAATATTGGATTACTGTTAGTTTTCTGGGCTGTATGGCCATGTTCCAGAAGCATTTTCTCCTGATGTTTGGCCCACATCTACGGCAGGCATCCTCAGAGATGTGGGCAAAATGTCAGGAGAGAATACTTCTGGAATATTGCCATACAGCCCAGAAAACTCACAGCAACCTAGTGATTTCAGACATTAAAGTCTTCAACAACACAATACTGAATAACGCTCATACTCTACAGCAAAGGTGTGGGCATAAGCATGGACATGCAAATTTATGTAAATGAATTAAAAAGCTGCTCAGCGGTTGGCAGGCGATCTTGACTAGACTTCAGTTTTTAAATTTCAGAGGTTACTGTGTCAGAATTTGTCTTTACGGAAAACTTGGATAAAATAAAATAAAAAATGAAGGGCCATTGACCCTTGAGATCTTATCCCATTTCCTTACAGAATACCCATCGAGATATAAATATGTTTATTTGCAATCTCATACTCATATCTCTAGCAATAAATGTAACATGTCAAGATATGTGATCAATGTATCTTACTGAATTTAGCGTACTCCCTAGAAGGAAAAGGGTTGGACTCGTGCAGTCCTTTCAAATTATGTAACTTCATGATTCAATGATTCCACATACATACGGGTTGTAAGTTTAGTCTTTACAAACAGAACAAAGAGATACCATGCCATAGGTGGAAATAATGTCTTATAATGGCAGGAGAAAACAGAATATTTAAAACAAAACAAAAAATGATAACCTTTTTTGAATTATTTTCTCTAGAAATTTTAAATATCAAACCAAGTGCAAAATAAAAATGATAATCTGTTTTAAATTATTTTTCCTAAAATTGTATAATAAAAAGCAGGGACAAAACAGATTGCATACAGGACTGAAGAAATAATCCTTTGGCTAGAAATGTCAGACAGATACACATAAGACAAATCAAATAATTCTTACATTAACTAAATGTATCATAGGCATTATACTTGTTGCTTTGTTTTAAGGCTGTATAAACCCTCCCAATGCAGTGTTTTCTCTTGGACTACAATATTGCAAAGGAATCCTTAAAAACATATCGGCTTTCTGAAACAAGTCAAGAAAAAAAAAAGCCTAAGCTTACACTGCCTTCGACTGTCCCTGCTCTGCATTTACACCTAAATTCCCTAGATTTACCAACTATTCTTTTCTAGGACTGGTTTGTTTTGTCTGATTTTAAACAGAAAGGACCACCACTACTTAGGATCTGAAGACCACAGATAAGAAATGAAGTCTATGATGAAGAAGGGTCAATAAAAGATAACACTGATAAGGCTGTAGGGAAAGATCACTAAGTTCTGGACTCTGGAATGGATGGATTTAGACAGCTGGCTCTGAAGAACAAGATGGCAATGAGGTGGAGTAGAAGCTAAAAACAGTGAGATGCCATTGAGCCAAGTTGAGCATCCCTTATCTGAAATCTAACCCTGAAAGTCTTCAAAATTGTTCACATGGGTGTCTGAGATAGTGTATGTACCCAAATTTGTTTTGCACACAATTGTTTATAAAATTACCTTCACTGTTTGTGCACAAGATGTATCATTCATATACACAGTGTACATGAAAGATACATTAATTTTATGTCCCCCACCATCAAGATACCTCATTATGCCCATATATTCTTTTTAAAAACCCCCAAAACCAGAACATCTGAAATCTGAAACACTCCTGGTTCCAAGTATTTTGATATAAGGCCGTCAACCTGTACCAAGAGTGGAAACCTTTGCTTCCTGCACAAAAATTATTAAAAATATTGTGTATAAAATTACCCTTATATCAAGATATTTCATTATCCATATGCAAGTACAGGCAGTCCCCAAGTTACAAACAAGATAGTTCTTAAGTTGAATTTGTTTGTAAGTCAGAACATGTACATTTTTAAGTGTAACTCCAGCCATATATGTACATGTGTGTGTGTGTGTGTGTGTATGTGTGTGTATATATAAATCTATACACACATACACACACACACACACACACACACACACATATATATAAACATACATACATACATATGTTAATTTGTTGTTGATTTTGTTGTTGTATATGTTGCGTTTTTAATTGCACTGACATTGTTGTGATAACCTGTACCATGTAAACCGCATTGAGTCGCCTGCTTGGGCTGAAAAATGCGATATAGAAATAAAGCAAATAAAATAAATAAATAATAATACATACATACACATATGCTTTTGATAGCATAGGGAAGGGTTATCACCCCAATGGTATTTGTTTTGCTGTCTGTGCCCATTAAGAGGATTTCACCTCACTTTGTTCCCCTGACAATTGGATTTTGAAAAATGTGACTTGTTGTGGAAACAAGGCTTGGTGAGAAAGCTTCAGTAGTGAGCCCCTTTCCCCATGAGAACTTTTTCAGGTGTGAATTTCCCTTCTTAGGGGGTCAGTTTTTCTCATACCCTGTTGTCTTACCCCATTCTTAAGTATGGGTTATTCATTAGTTGGATGTTTGTAACTACTGAACTGCCTGAATTCCAAAATCTGGAAGAGGGGAAATCCAAAACTCTGAAAAAAATGTTTCCAACTATTTCAGATAAAGGATACTCAAGTTATATCAAAGGGGCTAGAGCAGGCATAGGCAAACTTCAGCCCTCCATCCAGAGGTTTTGGACTTTTGGAAAGGCCCTTTCCTTTTCCCCCTCAGCCGCTTAAGCTTAAATGGCTGAGAGGGAAAAGGACGGAGCTTGAGGCTGTTAGGAGCCCCTGGCAGCGCAGTGGGCTAAACTGCTGAGCTGCTGAACTTGTTGACTGTAAGGTTGCAGGTTCAAATGAGCTCCTGCTGTTAGGCCCAGCTTCTGCTAACCTAGCAGTTTGAAAACATGTGAATGTGAGTAGATCAATAGATACTGCTTCGATGGAAAGGTAACAGCGTTCCGTGCAGTCATGCCAGCCATGGAGGTGCTTACGGACAACGTTGGCTCTTTGGCTTAGAAATGGAGATGAGTACCAACCCCCAGAGTTGGACACGACTGGACTTAATGTCAGGGGAAAACCTTTACCTTGAGCTGAGGCTATTAGAAAATGTGGTTAAGTCCAAAACCACTGGAGGGGGGGGGGGGCAAAGTTTGCCCATGTCTGGGCTAGAGTGCAGCCAGAAGTTAAGGGAGGGGGGAGATCACAAGAGCCATGCAGGAGGAATGCCAAAGAAGAGATCCAAAGAAGGACCACCATAGCTGCCAGGAGAAAGGACAAAGAGGGCAAGAGAGGTGGAGCAAGGTGAGCCAGGAAGGTAGTGATGTTCTCAATCCCAGGGCGTGGAAGATGGAGTGGGCGGGGCCTGGCTTGTGTGGGCGGGGCTTCGTCGTCGGGGGGCGGGGCCAGCGCGGGAGCGGGCGGGGGGGGAAGGGAGGGGAGCGCGCGCCTGACCTGGTCGAAGTAGATGGTCATGGTGCGGTTGCTCATCTCGGAGGGCTCGTGGTTGGTGCTGCGCGTGGCCGAGAAGGCCACCTTGGCGCTGCCAGAGCGGACGGAGATGCCGAGCGAGGAGGTGATGGCGCCGTCGGCCGAGGGGCTGGAGTCGCACACCACCAGGCACTTGCCCTCCAGCACGATGGGCTCCGTGTCGTTCAGCGCCGCCACGGCCGACCGGGCGCAGGGCAGGAAGAGCGCCCCCAGCAGGAGCAGCAAGGCCGCCACCAAGCAGCAGCCCCCGCCCACGCCGCCCTCGGACAGGCGCCGCCCGGGCATCTTGCCGCCCAGGCCAGCCAAGGAGGGAGAGCGAGCGCGAGCGAGGCTCTTGGAAAGGCAGGGGAGGAGGGCCGGCTCTTTTCCCGCGCTTTTCTCCCCTCACAGGAAGGCGGGCGGCGGGGCGTCGGTGCTGCGGCAGCCTGCGGAAAGGGAAGAGCCGGGAGAAAAGGCAGCCGTCAGGGAGGAAACGGGCGTCGGAAGCAAGGAAGGAAGGGCGAGCTGAGCCGCTCTCCTCAGGCCTCCCTACTTCACACAGTGGCAAACACACTTCCCCAGTGCGCGTGCACGAGGGTCTCTTCGAAGGCGGAGACCCCGACCGCCCTCGTCCCTCAGCGTCCTGCTCCTTTTTACCATGCCTCAAAAACAGATTTGGCACCCAATTAGACATATTTATACCCAATTAGACATATTTATATATACGAGTACGCACAGACATGCATATCTTGGGTCTATGTGTGGCAGAGGGGAAGCCACTCTCTCACACACACATATACATACATTTGTGCGCGCGCACGTGTATAAATGGGACCCGGCTGTGCAGGAGGCAGGGTCAAAAAGCGCGGGATGCTGAAGGAGGAGGACAGGCGAGGTCTCTCCCCTCTTCGAAGACCTCTTTCCCGCTCGGATCACAACACACACTGCAGTCAATATTGAGGCCAGCACACATCCTCATTAACACGTGAAGTAGTGATCCCCCGCCATAATATATCATAGCTACAGCAGGATTCATATCCGCATGATTAGTTAGTGATAGCTATACATAGTCATCTCAGCCCAAACACCTTTGTGCAACTTAATATAATAATATGATAAGATTTTTTTTTTCATGTCAGGAGCGACTTGAGAAACTGCAAGTGGCTTCTGGTGTGAGAGAATTGGCCGTCTGCAAGGACGCTACCCAGGAGACGCCCGGATGTTTGATGTTTTACCATCCTTGTGGGAGGCTTCTCTTATGGCCCTTCATGGGGAGCTGGAGCTGACAGGAGGAGCTCAATCCGCTCTCCGCGGATTCGAACCGCTGACCTGTGGGTCAGCAGTCCTGCTTGCACAAGGGTTTAACCTATTGCGCCACGGGGGCTCCTTTTCAGTCAGTGACTAGTATTAAAGTGTGTGTGTGTGTGTGTGTGTGTGTGTGTGTGTGCTATCCGGTTGGAAAAGGGGGTCTTCAAAGACGGGAGAGACTCATCCTTCAGTGTGTATGTGTACGTTAGGGGTCTTCAAAAACGGGGAGACGCATCCTTTCACACAACACACGCTAAAGGATGAGTCTTCCCTTCTTTGAAGACCCCTTTTCCGTTCGGAACACACACACACGTTCGTATATGTAGCAGTACAGGTTTCCAAATCCTGCTCTGAAGTGAGAGCCGGGCTGGAGTTCTTTCTCATGAGGTTGGCGCGGTTTCCGGCTGACCCCCGTGCGCTCTCTCGGGTCTTTTCGTCCCAAAGGAAAGCAGAGACGCGCCTGGCACAGCATATCCTCCTTCATTCAGACGAAACACAGGTCTCAACCTTTGCTTCCACCGGCCAATAGCTCTCACAACCCCTGAGGATGCCTGCCATAGATGCAGGCGAAACCTCAGGAGAGAATTCTCCTAGAACATGGCCATATAGCCCAAAAAACCCACAACAACCGACTCTCACACAGTTCAAAAGCTCCTCTCCCCCTCCTTTACATTTTCCTCCCCCAGTCAGCATATACCCCCTCTTTTTTTCCTTCCCCCCCCCTCTCTCTTCCCTCCCCCCTTCCTTTACATTCTGCCCCAAAACAAGCCATCCCCGTTTTATCTGGTGTTGATTTCCGGACGCTTAGGCATTTTCATGCGTCAGGATTTGGTTGTGTTTGAATCAGGTTCCTTCCCAGCCTTGTTTTAATTGTATTTTATTAAGGGGGTGGGGAGAGGTCCTGTCGGCGGATTTCCCAGCACTGACCCAATAATCTCAGGACCAACTCTGCCCCTCCGCCCCGTAACTTTTCCTCGTCTCGATCGCCAGGTTGTCAACCCGGAGAGAAAGAAGGAAGGGAGATCTAGGCAAAGCTCTCGCAAAGCACGAGTGGGCTTCCTATTCTCAAAGTTCCAAGGCAACCCCATCCATCCCTCCGGACGCCCCTTCTTTCCTCCCCTTTCCGTGGCTCCCACCCCTGGCTTGGTTTTTCCCCCGAAAAGGGCGGAGGGGGATCTACCTGGCAGGTCCATGGCGGGAAGCGAGTCAGGCGCAGAGGCGGCCGTCGTCCGGGAAGTTGCCTCGCTTGGAGAGAATGAATGAGTGCAGGGTTAGCTTGTTGCCAGGAGGGAGGAAGCGCCTTCGCCCGCCCATCGCCGAGGAGCCCCCCCCCCTCCCCGCCTTCCCCCTTTCTCTCCCGACACATCCGCGCTCACCCCAGAGAAACTCCCGCAAGATCTCTCTCTCTCTCTTTCTCTCTTTCTCTCAACACCCCCACTTCTCTGTTTGCGGTAACACACAACGATCTGGACACATCAGGGCATCTCAAACACACCTGGCGCGTTCCTTCTCCCCGGGATGGCCCCGAGACACCTTGGATCTCCTGGCAGAACTTTCTCCGGATCCCTCCAAAGGGGCGATCCTGGCGAAGCTAATCAGTTGATCCGCATTGTCTTCTTAAAGGGTGGGTCCTCTCCTCGCCCCCCGCCCTCCAATTCCGTTCCCAAAACCACGGTGGGAAAGTCGAGGGCGCTGTCTTCTTGGGCAAGGGATGGGACCTCTCTTCCGAGCGAGAAGTTCCAGTCCCGACCTGGGCAAAAGGCAGGCGGAGTGGGACGGAGGCAGAGGCGCGGCCCCTTAAAAACCTCTGGAAGGAAGACGGGGCTCGCGGAGCACAGGCGCCTTGTTAACTTGGGCTTCCTGCGCCCTCTTTTCTTTTCTTTTTTTCCTTCCCTTGGAATACCCTGGAATTAGACGTCTGGGGGAAGGAGCTAGGCGCGTCTTTGGAGGGGGGAGCGACTTATATGGCTGGGAGGAAAGAGCAAGGGCTTCAAATGTGGGGGTGGGGCGCCACCTAGCGACCACAAAGCGCTCTCGCCACCACTAGGCTTGGAAGGGAAAGGATGGAAAGGGATCCTGTGGAGGTGGGTGGGTTGTTTGGGTTGGAGACAGAGCCATGGGAGAGGGATTCCCGGGGAGAGCGAAGGGGGAGAAAGGGAGGGTGAACTTCCAGTTACATCCTCTGTCGCCTTCCCTCCCCTCTTCTCTTCTCTCTCCCAGATTTCTTTCTCCCTTCTAGAAGCCTGGGTAGATCTTCCTTCTGCTTTGCTCAACCTAAGGCTGCCCTGATGAGAAATGCGGCAGTCAAGGTTATCAGCAGTTATTATTGGCTGCAAAAATGTTTCTCACAGCTCGGCTTGTGCGGCAACAGCTGCTGCTGAGCTGAGTATCTAGGGATGGACAAACCAGACAAAAGGAGAAGGTGGGAGATAGATGTGCTAAAGCAGCCGTGGCCTCGGGGACACTTTTCTTCTCTCCCTTTGTTTTAGGTGTATTTAAAATCAACAGCTTAATGCCTGAACGCCTCTCAGAGCCTTTCCTTATCCATGAACAGATATTAATTAGGCATCAGGCTTAATTAATAGGAGGCAGCATTTACTTGGAGACAGTTTCAGGGTTGGTTAATAATGTGAAGGCTCAAGCCTGTCCAAAGTAAAGTGACAATGATCAAGAGACCTCTGGGATGTCAAAAGCATGTCTGTGTTTCCACACCATTAGCACCACAATTCAGGAATGGGTATCTAAGGCACAGCCTTCTGAAGCCCTGACATCTTTCTTTTATGAATGTTGTTAGTGTGTGGAATCTGGAGTTCTTTCATTTGTGAACTGACATTCGCAGTGTCACATCAAACATGCAACTGGAAGAATATGAAGATGCACAGAAGAAAAATGTCCCAGATCTAAACAATGCAGGTCTTTAAAGCTCTTATAATCATAATCAACCAGAGAGTGGTTAACAAGTGCAAATAATAAATAAATAAATAAATAATATATGTTGTAATTATATAAAATCAATTGATAAAGTGAGCTTAACATGGAACTCGATAACCATCTATGATCACTGCCTCCCCTGGTCACTCTGCCAAGAAGGTTATACATCAGAGACATCAGAGATTATCTCATGAACCTCTCCTTTGTCTCCTTCTGAATAACATGCTGGTGGGAATGGAATTCAACTACTCCAGTTGTCCACAACTAAAGAAAGTTGGTGAGTGAGCAGGCTGAAGGTTGTAGCTACCTTTTACTTGCTCCTTTACTCTCCTAGTAGGGTGGAACCTGATATCTTTGGCAGAATCACCCAGAGAGATATGAGGTGGAAATTACATAGTATTGTGTTAGAAGAGGACAAATGAGCAGCTGCAAAAAATGTCAACCATCACATGTCAAACAGCTGAGCAGTTGTGCAAAGGCAGAATATCTGCAAAGTGTTAGTTCTCATCAGGTTGACTTTGACTTGTAGTGACCCCATGAGGTCAATGTAACTACCATGAGAGACTACGAAGAGCCTCAGCTATCAATTGCAAATTCAGGAATATGGCCTACATGGCTAAATCAATCCACATACAGTGTGGTCTTTCTCTTGAATTGCCTTCTCCTTTGCCAAGCATTATCTTTTCTAAGGAATCACAACATCTAGTTATATGTCCAAAGTATGACGGCCTCCATTTAGTCACCTTTGCCTCTAATGAGACTGGAGGTTTGACTTCCTTGATTTCTTATTCATTTGTCTTCTTAGCAGTCCATGGTACCCAATGAATTTGCATCCAGTGCACATTTCAAATGAATTAATTTCCTTCCTTTTAGCTTACTTCACTATCCAAATTTAGCATCCATGTATATAAACTTGAAATTATATGATTGGGATGAACTTGACTTTAATTATGTAGCTTCACACTTGAGGATCATAGAGGAAAATGCCAAGAAGAGGGATGAAGCAAGAAAAAGGTAACTCCTTGTCACTCTCTCACTTGCTCTGCTCATTTGCCCTTTGTCTCAGGACAGTGGAAACTGAATTAATTGAATTTAATGCTGATCAACATGCTGCTCGGAAAAAGAATGCAGAATATGTGTGACCAGATATGACCAACTCTCTGACTCTTGAGTAGGCAGAAGTGTCTCTGAGCCCATCTATGTTGGCCGGGAATGAATGTACTTCATGGTGTCCACATGAGACACACAGTCCATTTGCCTTAAAGTGACAAAAGGACACTTACCATTTGAGTCCAGTGTAACTGTAAATATTTGGATCACTTCCTATTTGGAAGTGCCATCTTCCATCTTTCTTTCCCTAGGGTTGGGCAGCCCAGAGACATGGGACAGCACTTATTTTTCTCTGTCATTCTGGCCTTAGTGGTGCCTGTTGAATATGAACATGATAATGGTCTCCACTCAGCGCCAGTAGTGATGATAGCTGGAGCGATAAGGCAATCAAAGAAGGGAGCAGAAAGGAGGAAGGGAGTCCGCTTCTACTCCTCTCCTTTCTCGTATTGCTTCACTTTTCTGGTTATTGTCATTACAGGTGGCCATCTGTTGGGGGTGCTTTAAATGTGATTTTCCTGCTTCTTGGCAGGGGGTTAGACTGGATGGCCCAAGAAGTCTCTTCCAATTCTATGATTCTATAATGGTGACCACTGCCATTTTCATGTCTGGTGGTCCCTGCTAAAGCCAGAAGAACAGGAGCAAGTAAGGATGGTAGGCCAGTGGCTCCAAACTAGTTATGGCATGGCTGGGCTGTGTGGCAGCCATCCAGCCACCAGACTGGCTCAGGGCCATGCACTGCAGACAGCTGCCAGCCCCAAGCCAACCCAGCAGTATGGGTGTGAAGACTCTGGCAATGCTGACCTGGAGTACCCCACTCTGAATCAGCATCACCATTTGTAGCACACATAGTTGGCCCCTTCTTCTCTTTCTCTCAATCTCTGTTCCTCTAAGTTGCATCATGTCTTCAGTCCTTTCCTTTTGCTCTGAAGCTCAGAAAGAGTGATCAAGAGAAAGAAGGTAGAACTTTACTTATTTGCATACCTCCTTGTCAACTCCAGAAGCAGCAAAGTTCAGAGGAGAAAACACTATCTTGGAGACCTTGGGACTTCTCAGCTGGGCAAGATCTGTCTACTCTTTTTTTTGCCTCTGCTGACAAGGATAGGGAAAGAACAAAAGAACACCAGCTTCTTCCTGCCTAATTAATCGGCTGCTCCTCCCTCAAAACTGAAGCAGCTTTCTTTTCTAGTACATGTTCAGTGCCATGTCTAGTTAGGCTTTCAGTCCTTCTCCATTAAGTTCCTAGTTATTCTTTGTTTTGATTCCTCATTCTTCTTGAGCATGAGAGACTATTATAAATACAATTCATTTTCTCAAGTAAGTAGAATTATAGCACCTTAAACATTTGAACTACAGAGTGTACCCACTGAATTATGGAATGGCCACAACTTTTTCTCCCCTTGTTGACATTTTTATTCTGCAAGTGCCTTATTCAGAGGATTTTATAGGGGTGTCTTCATTTTGCAGCCCTCCTGTGCTTTCCCTTCACTTCTTCCATGTTTTTATTTACCAGGGAAAAAAAAGGGTCTGTTGAGGCATAAAAGATAGAACAGCTGCACACTGCCTTTTGATTGGTATTCGTAGGTAGTCTAGAAGAAACAGTTGGTGTTCTTTGAACTAAGAAATGCAATAAAATTAACAGATTTAAATCCATGTGGTAGCTTTTGAAATACAGATTGGGGGAAATGACAGTCTTGCACTGACTCCAATATTCTTCAGTCAAGTGGTCTTCAGATGGTTCAGAGTGCAAGTCCCATTATCACCATTGCATATGTTTCAGGTATGTCAGACTGCAATCCTCATTATATATTAATTACAATGATTGTAGTTTGACATACCTGAGAACAACTGGATGGGGAACACTTCACTCTGACGGTTCTCGGGAATGATCATATCAGTCAAATGCCCAAATAGTTAAAATGGTCCTTGAGTTAAAATGGTCAATTACACTTCCCAAAATGTTATTGTCCAAGCTATCATAATTACTGCAATTAAGGTAAACAATTTATCACTTAATTCTCTAATAGAAATAACATAAAAGGAGCAAAGTTTCAGCATTGAACTACAGAATGGGATCTTTGTTCTCAATGAGTTTGGAACCCAAATTTCATCATAAAAGACATTATAGAGGAAAGAAAAGGAAATGGAGAAAGGAAAATAAAGAACTGTCTTTGGCCTAATTCAACTTGAACAGCACTTATTTTAATTCAACACTAAAATGACAATTTGGCACAGCAGAACTTTA